ACGTCGACCCTGGTTAAAATCTATGTAGTCATATGTATAGTCAAATTTTGTTTTTTAAGTCACGTTTGTAGAGTAGGCTGACTTGCTGTAGCCATTTTTGATATCGATCTTTAGAATACAAACCAAAAAGGTATTGTTACTATGCTATTTGTGTATGCATTGTACGTAACTATCCACAACGGCTAGATATTATCTGAACAAAAATTAGGCTCTCATGAACGTATTATGCCGATACATTCGTGTCATATACGTTATAAATTAATTTTTTTTTGGATAATACGCATTAAAAGCTATAGTGAATCGAGAGATTTAAAGAAAATTAAACGTTTAGAAGATTTAACCAATAGAATGAATATGTAATAAAAATTTGTTGTTACGCAAGATTTTATCCATTCGTTCAAGGCACTTCTAGCAATATAGTGTACAAAATATACGCAATTACTATTATCTAGACTTTAAAACGTTAGCAAAATATTTCGTTGATGCTTCGAAAGCTATCTCAAAGTTCAATGTTCCAAAAAGCGTAGGAAATTTTACGAGAGATGTCCGTTCGATAGTGCATGAGTTGAATTTTGATATTGAATTAATCGCGGAGTAAGGATCGATGAAAACAAAGAACATCACAGGTTCCCGCACTCTCTGACTGGGCCATTGTTCGTCGCGCAGGAATTCAACAGGATAATGACCCTACCAAAAAGGGTGTGTTTATCATAACTGTATTCAATAAGCAGGAAATGCGTATTTAATTCAGTCACGTAATATATAAGTACATTGACATAATATTTTAATATCAAAATTGAAAACATTCTTTCGTGTTCGATCGTCATTATACGCATACATTATACGTCTGTAGTCAGCCGTATCCTAGTAACGAAGGCAGCAGTTCAATACTTTTTATCACAGCTGATTCAGCCGTTGTATTATGCGGATTGCTCATTAAATTGCATTACTTGTACGCATTTGTATGCAAAGATATCTTCTGCATACAGATGTGTAAATAAAAATAGATACTAGTTCGTTATAAATCGTTAATGTTACAAACAGAAACTAATTAATTAAGCACTAACGTTTAATGCAAGAAAAATAAATTAACGGTTTTTCAGTTAAAGTATATTTAAGGAAAAATACCAGAAATTAATTACCTAATTTTATTGCTGTGCTATGTTGTGTTTAATTTATAATATTAGCATGCATTGTGGGTAAATCCTTTATCGTTTGGGAAAATATTAATGAATTAGTAATTGTTTTCATATTTCTTTGTAATTGGATAAAGTGCGTTTGAATATAAACATCGAAAATATTTTTTCCGGTTTCACACTGAAAATACTACATTTTCTTAGGCTACCCTTTACAAGTAGGGACTTATGGAAGATACAATTTAAATTATCATCAAAAATTATAACTTTATAAAGATATTTTATCGTATTTCACGAACATTTTGCTTCGTGAAATTATTGTAATTTGTTTGAAGTAAAATTAATTAATGTATCGTTTGTAATAACATGTTTGAAGCGGACATGGACTTTACAACTGGAATAATAAAATCAGCGGTATTCCCATAATTCCTTTAACAAACATGCAAAGGTTTTCCTTCATATTTAATGACACGGTTGACAAAGAACTCGTTAGACTTTTATTACTTAGTAAGTATACTATATAATTGATGCGATGGGAATAAAAATTATTCAAACTTTTTTAAAAATTATTACTGGCTTTAAATAATTATATTATATTGAAAAAGACAATGAAAAAGTAGAGATCTCTTACTTTTCCTGGGCGTTTTGTAGAGTTTTTTGGAATTGGTTAAACTTGGAGAAAGATGTAAAGAGGCTTTAAGGTTATTGTTTTTTTTTAATTTATTTAGGGATCTTCTACTTACTGGTGTCTTGTGTAAATTGTTATTAAAATTATTCGTCTATATAATGTGTAATGTACCACTAAACCTAGCGTAATGTTGCTGTAGAACCGGTTCATTTCAGGTTTACAGTTACAAGTCGTTCCTCTTGTTAACATAAGTTCGGTCCATAGTTGAAAATAAATATATAACACACTACATTTGCCTATATATGTATTACCTATACGTAAAGACAAACTAGAAATGTTTAAAGATTTTATTTCTAAAATAATTCAGGGAAAAAAAAATATATTTAAGTTGGATAGCAATGACCAATCTAAACCTACCATCGTAGGTTTTGAAGATCGTCATTATTTAGTTTTTTATTTTTTCAATTTATGATAAGATTTTAATGATATCTTACTAATATTATAAATGCGAAAGTTTAGATATATAGATGGATGTTTGTTTGAAGGTATCTTCAGAACAACTGAACGGATCTTGATTAAATTTGGCATACTTATAGAACATAGTCTGGAAGAGTACGTAGGCTACCAATTTTTTTTATTTCGCGCGGACGTAGTCGCGGGCGACAGCTACTAGTTAATAAATTGAATACGACTTTGGGTTGAAACCTATCATTTAATAATTAAAATACATTAGTACGGCTAACGATATTGATTAACGCATTATTTGTGTTAAAAGTAAACGGGTTAGTGGTACGTATGCTCACCTTGACATGTCCAGCCATACTTAATATACAAAAAATCAGAGCGAGAAAAACTAATCGATTGTCAGAGTCAAGGTTAAAAAATAATTAGGATTGAATTAAAAAATAAACGTTACAGATTAATTAAACAAAATAAAATGCATTAGATGCACCATTTTAAAATATATTTGATTAAATTACGATATATCCGCTTTTGTTTGACTTGTTTAAATTATGCACTGTTTTAAATTAATAATTAAAGCATTCTTTTATTTGAAATCTAATTTAATTACTGTAAAAATTACTGCTCTATTTAAATTGAAAAGACTATTTGCTTTATTGAAAACAATTAGATAAAACAAACCATTAAAATACTTTACTAATATTACGATTATTAAAAAGAAAATAAAAAGCTTTCGCATTGGAAAAATAATTCAAATAAGAAACAATAATTTATTCATTTTAATAGTAAGCAATTAAAATCAGATTTCGCGTTTGTTTTCGAATGTGATATGTAAATAACATACGTCAATAAATCATTTAGACGAGTGGTCGGTGATCTATGACCTAGAACTTGTGGCGAACAGAGACTGGTTCCGTGACTCACAGCCGCCGATTTCTGAGAAACGTTGCTGCTTTATAAGTGTTTCCTCCCGAATCAGAAGACATGCCTTACAATGACTCACTTTGTTGGTCACCAATTTTATATAATCTATACGGGTAACATGTCCGGTATATCCGATATCAACGACATAAGTCTGTGGTTAGTTATGAATGAATTACTATTACAGAAAAATATAGTAAATTGTAATATTATATTGTTTTTTTATTTGACTACAAAGTAAACGTTTATACGTAATTAGCATAACGTTAAGATAACATAATGTATAGTTTTAGTGATATAAAAACATGCAATAGATTTGGACCGACTAGTGCGTGACATATCAAAACAAAACACAACAGAAACCAGAAAAATATAGAGTTTGCTTATTAACTCCAGACAAAAAAGGCAACACTTGAAACCTATAAAACGGTTAATTTAATAAAGTTTAAATAACAATTCAGATTAAAAAAAGCTTGTAATAAACACTGTTAAAATATAAATTATTTTACCATTTGTTTGTTTTTTCTCTACGGTGCTTTATACGCAAATGTATTTTACGACAATTTAACGTGGTCATTAATGTTTTTCAATGAATTTTATATTTCTTATAAGAAATCACACAGAACGTATTACTTATATTCAGTGAATCATAAAGTAAATACTCGTACTTAATTGCTACTATTTCAAATGACGCAAACTCATTGAAAACACATATACCTTTAATGACCAATACGGATCAACATATACGGTGACTCATATTACACTGACGAAATGAAAAGTCGAATATACACCGATAAATGTATCCAACCCACATGCATTTTATCTCGGTCGTATAATGCAGGTTTCTCAATGAATGAATTTACTATCAAACGTGGGGGACTACTACGGCAGTTGGTAACAATTTATTATAATTTAGTAGCAGATTCGAGATGTTCTGAGAAAAAAGTGAATCAGCGATGACGATCCGTATCATATCCGATCCTGATCACGTTATAAAGTTATTGGTATTTACTTCATACGGAATTAAATTAAAAATGACTCAGCACTTCCTTTTAGAGATTATAAACAATTCCATAACTGCAACTGTTTTAATTTTACCAGATATCGTTACGATTGTTAAGAATTTCTGTGAAGTGCAAATTTCGCAAACTTCTTGTCGTAATTTATTTATAATCATAACAAATGATCATCAAAATTTTCCTAACGATATATTATTGGTATATTTGTCCTAATATGTGAAGTTACAGTAGACACTAACTGAAACAGTGGTCACTAAGAGTGACCCTTATGGTTGATAAAGAAGTATAAAAATTAACCCAAAAGGGCGACTTTAGTAACTGAACGTCTCTTAGTGGATGGGAGAGTGGAATACAGTTGTATTTGTTTAACCGAAGTGTCATCAAGCGACAACAAGGTAGGTTTACTGTGAAAATGATTGCAATCGTTATTATAGATAATTAAACTGCATTTATGTTCTTACAATCAATCGATGTCGCAACATTTGTCAACAACAATATTATATTTTACATATTTTATGTGACGAATGTAGTAAAAACTATTCATAACATAAAAACTAGTATATTTATTGTCTGTATTAATGTCTATTATATCGGCATCTAAATACGTATAAAATAAAATAAATTATGTCGGTACCCAAAAAAAAAATACTAAATATTCTTATATCTTGTCATAGTTAGATTTTTATAAAACTTAACGCGATTACGTTCCTTAGCAGCAAAAATTTTAAAATAATTTTCTGTCCTTAACCTAATAAGTTATGTATTTTGATTTTTTAAATATTTTTATTGTATTTTAGTTACTTATTTTTAAAATAAGTGTATGAAAGTACTCACCATTGCTTTGTCGGTGTCCCCAAAGGTGGGCGCTGCGCTGCTCCTGCTTAGAAAGACGAAAGCCGCCGCAATCGTCCACAATATCCTCAAACTGCTTCTTAAACTAACCAACGCCATATTGCTTCTAGATATGCTATCTCTTGTACTTATTAAGCTCATTTATTTTGTACTTTTTAATTCGTTTAATAATCTAATATTAATATGAACGGAATTTCATTAGTCTTAAAAATTATAATTATTCTATAAAATAATTATTCATTTATTGCTATCGTTGATATGTTCTCTTGCGATTAGATTTGCTTCTCGTTTGATCTGTAACAAAAAATAAATAAGATAAGTTTTACGTTAACTTAAATTGAAAAAAAAAACATTTAACATAATAGCAAGAAGACATATGTTACACCTGACAAATTAAAAAAGCGGTCTTGCATTTGTTTTCAGTAAGTAAATATTTTTACGCAAAATTCTGAACACTATTAATGATTGTCAAATAAGTGTCCTGGCAATTAACTTCGTAGATAGTTGTTTTTTTTTTAAATAAACTGTTAAAAACAATTGAACGTTAGAAGCACGACCGTTACGGTAATCGCTGTTCTTCGACTGAGTCTTGAAGATTAAAAAACTACCTAAAGCTAAATTGCAACGATATAGGGAGGGGATGCAGTGATAAAAGATTAGTCAAGTTGGGACTTGACTAATCTTTTTCTGTACTAATCTACGACCTGGGGGTCGTAGTATATTAAGTTTTATATTGTAAAAAGATGCGTAGTGATAAGAAAAAGAGGCCGTCTCTTAAAATGCGTCATTACATCAGTAGACATAAAATGACTCATTCATCTTATCCATAGTTTACTTTAGTTAACATCCGGCTTTAATATAATGTTACTAACTGTAATAAATAAAAATAGATACTATAATGCGAATACACCTCTATGGTGATAATTCATTCTTGAAGAACATCATTCATGAAGTTTAAAATGAAATAGCTTATCATGTTGTTAAAGGCAGTAAGGATTAGTGGCCCTACTATGTGGCAGAAAAACAAGTTTATATAATCTACTATTGGATGGTATAATACAAAAGCGAAGACTTTAAGAAAGTTGATTATGTAATTAGCGCATTACTTTAATTAATAATTACCCGGTTTGTTGCTAGAATTAAGGAAAATTTATCTACTTATAAATTATCTATTTGTTACTAGCAAATTGCATGGTTACAAAAAGTAGTCACGTTTGAAACGTTATTTTTACTGAATTCTAAAAAGATGTTAGTTACAAAATTTTATTAGTTCTGACTACATTATTGTATAATTCACTAAGATGCATTTTCAACTAGATTACGTTTTTGTCTCACTAAAATTATGTTAATACAGTGCTTAAGAAAGGTTAATAATGAAGCCTAAATGAATATTGTGTCAATTTATTTTTGTTCTATCGTTATTTCTTTGTGACTAACTGTTGTACTCTTGACGTGTGGTAACCATTCATATGTTTGACCCAGATTCGTCGATACAAGAGGGCTGCGGGCTTGTCATCAAACATTATCAATAAACAAAGATAAATTGTTTCTATATAATTAAAACTTCGCTTTTTACAATAAAGTATTTACACAAACTGATAGTAATTTTTTATCAGTTATGACTATTAGCTTGTCCGATGTTTATCGTATTTCATATTGTTTCTTCTTTTCATTAGAGTTTGGCTAATTGCCATTTACAAATATAGATTGACGTAAATAGACAATAGCTATTTTAGAACAACATTAAATGTAACTAACTGTTTATGCTTTCTTTTCTAGACAGCAAATAAAACTTATTACTTTATCCATCAAATTACGAGTACACAACCGTTTGATCTCTTACCTTGAACAAAGATATACGAATGACTTTATCCATACAATAACCGTTAAAAAAATATCATTTACTATTTCTTTTGACGAGCGTTGGACGTTCAGTATATCTTATCTACACATTCCATAGATTATAGCAGTTCTTTGTGGTTAATTACGAGAACTACGTATGTTGGAATATGGTTAAGTTAACCGTTAACATACTGTTGTGAAGGACTTACATATAACAATACGTTTATTATAAATAATAGCTGTCGCCTAGCATATGCGTTCGTCCAGACTATGTTCCACATCTATGCCAAATCAGCGAGATCCATGCAGCCGTTGCGGAGATAGCTTCAAACAAATATCTATCCATCCAAACAACGTTTATACTATTAGTAAGATGATATTTGAATTGATTTTAACATTTTCGTTGTACAATATAAAATTATCTTAATTTGGCGATTTAGTTTTATAATCCTAGTTTTTACTCTTTTTTTTTAATTTATTAAAGTACGGCTGAGACAAATCAAATTTTTATAAAAAGGTAATTGATATTAGCGATATCGCTTCAGCTGTGAAAAACAAAAATTACTAAATCAAATATTCAAAATAAATTGCAGAACCAATCGATCAACAAAATCTTAAGCAATTAGCTTTTAAACTTACCAAGGTTCTTTTTTGTTATAGCTACTTTTCAACAATTAACTTTTAGATAAACGACCCGAGGAAGGGAAAATGTCACAGATTATAAAAACTGAAATAAAATCCAAGAAATAACCATTATTGTTCCTTCCTTATACAATTAATTCTACTAAGGAGATGTTACATAGTAGTCTTAGGTATCTCCCTTATGCTTTTGTACTCTGACTGACTCTGTTAAGGTAATTCTTTTATTTAAATTAATTTGAACTATTGCAGCTATGCTATCTTAGTTCTTACTATTTGTTGGAAGGTATCTCCAGACCGGCTGCATGGATCTCGCTAATAAACAAGACTATTAATTATTTTGCTTAAATTAGAATTTGTTATTTGTTTATCCGTGAATGTAAAGTGTTAAGATGGCTACAAATCGTTACCTAGAATCGAACGGTTCGCTATTGGTGTCGGGTGTCGGCGGCGGGTGTCGAAGCAATGTTCCGGTCACCAGAGCGTGGCAGGTTTCTCCGGCATTGGTTTCGGATCTCTTACCTAACCCACTCATTGGTTATTGAACTTTTTTTTACCATACAACTCTTGCCTCTAATTCGATGTCAAACATCAATTACTCTTTGAGAATCAATTCTCAAAGTATACGCAACTGTAGTTTATTTCTTACCAAATAATATAAAATGACACAATTACGTATATTTACGTTTTCTATTAACAAAACTCTCGCTTAAAGTTAGTAGTTCTTTAACCGAATTACAAATAAAATCTGTGATAGAACATCTACTCTTCGATCATTCGACAAATTAAGTAAATCAGTGTCTACTTAGCTATAGTGAGCATTTATTCATGTTTTGTACTTTAGTATGATAACAGAGTTATGAAACTTTTCAAGGCCTTCGCTAGTGAATGTAAATCATAATTTCTTATACAACTAAGTCTATTAAAGATGACACAAGCTTAGATTAAGATTAAAATCTTATAACGTAAGTTGATGCGATCAACATTGTAAGACGTGATTTCATCGTACGCACGTTACCTGTCAACGTCCACGGCGATGTTTTATTATTGCACAGGCTATACTCTAGAGAATATTAAGCAGGTACTCCTCTCTCGGGCTTGACGCGCGCAGATTCGCATCTGCCGACCCTGGAGGATGCTTCCTCCTTCCGGACGCACTCGATCAATACAAATAATATGAACGCATTATATCTAAGATCTTCATCAGGATTACGCATCAGTGAACACTGCGAATAGTTGATAAGTTTTTTTGTTGTGTTGTCTACCCCGGATTATACTGGATGAGAGACTCGAATATTATTTGTAATTATTATGGTTATATTAGGGAAACCTCTCCAATAACGCGGAATAAATAAGAAAGGAGTCACGTTAAAAATATGTTAGTTATCAATTTTGTTAAAGGATTGTTTTAATTTACTTTTTCTTATCAGTAAATATTGTTTAAAAAATCTCAATTAGGCATATCAAAAAAAATCTAGGCCGTAACCTTAGGTCGTGGTCGACAATCACAAGGTTCAGTCTTGTTACTGAAATATGTGCATGGAACTTTGTTTTTTTCTGACTAAAATACCATTTTGTGTGAGCCCTTCGTTAACTGTTCAACATTTTCCAAGATATGTTAGTAATATCGAAAGTTAATATTCAATTATTTTGTATTGCCAGTATTGAATTTAATAAATTAACATTTAACGAAACATATATCCTCAATATTGATTTAAAATAAATATGACTCAAAACTAGAGTCGTGTATGTAATAATAAAATGAGTTGACCTTTGTAAAAAACATTACTACGTTCATATTGAACTAAGCAGTTAGCATTAAAATAGTGACTCATTTCAATTAGTTCGAAATGTAAACAATGATTATTCGAAAAAAAACCAAACTCTAATATTATCATTACGAAAACAATGGATTCAAATATTATAGTAAAATCTGAGCAGTTTGACTGCTGAGATGCATTCAATAATTTTATTATCAAATCACTCACCGCTATTTAATAGACAAAAATATTTGTTTCTTTATTCATGTTTTTCGCAAACAAACTCTCACAATGAAACTTAAATTCAGAAAATTTCTTCTTAATTTTATAAGGAATTCTAACACAACACATGTAAGATCAAACCTTATCACTAATGATAACGGAGGCCTTATCCACCGAATTTATCTGATAATAGTGTTCACGATACCACGCCCTACTTTGAAACAATTATTTATCGCCTTTTGAAACTGTAGTGCCATTTGTAAAGAAAAAAAACGTGTTAAATAGATTATTTAAAAAATCATTTACGAACATAAAACGACGAAGTGCAAAAGTTATAAATTCTAGTAATAAGATTCATTAAATACAAATAATATGCATTACAAATATTACTTTGGTAAATGTATTTATAATTATTTTATTATTTTTAAAATTTATACTTTTTCTTTTTTTGTCAAAAAATATAGCCTGCGAAATGCGAATATGATAAACAATTAATCGCTCTATCTGGCTGTCATTGTTTGTATGTCATTAGAGTTAAAAAAAAAGAATCAAACAATGCATCGATGAATTATGTCGATTATTTATTCGGTACATGTAAGAAAGGCGAGTGACCAGTGAGGATAGCATTTTAATACAAATAGCATGACCACCCGTGTTGCATATCTTTAAGTATCAATGAACGGTAAAAAAACACAACTTACTAATATTATTAATACGAATGTTTGGAAGGATGGATGTTTATCTAGAGGTATCTCCAGAACAGCTGAACGGATCATGATTAAATTTGGCATACATATAGAATATAATCTGGAATAACAAATCGGGTACTAATTATTTATTTTTTAATTCCGCGCGGATAGAGTCGCAGACGATAGCAAGGAAATGAATAGCACTGGGCCAGTGTTGTTGACAAAGGGCTTTTTTAACGTGGGGAAATGACTAAGGTATAGTCACCCCTAACTTAACGTAGGCTTGAACCCCTGGTAGGGATGTATACTAATTGCACTATGAAAATATTAAGGTTAACTTTTAACAATATAAATGAAAGAAGGAATAGTAGACATGTAGTGTTTTAAAATAAAACACGACATTTATTTGTCGTTTTTAAATCCAAGACATATGTATAATAAAAATTCGTATATACATAGGTACCGAATACATGCTGTGATTTGAGAACATTGATAGTATGAATGAGTTTGGCCTCCTAAACCTGTTATTTAATTGTGACAAAAAACCGAGATTTTTTGCGATAGGCTCGTAAATATTATTATACTATTGCTGCTAACAAATGCTGCTAATTGTACGTAAAGTCAACAGCACAATTCCGTTTGATTGTTTACGACGTAACATTAGTTTATAGATAGTAGAAACTTCATGTGATTATTGTTAAAAAAAACTCGTTGACATTCTGTTAGAAAATAGTGTTGTAGACATATTAATTAAATAAATAAATTTCAAGTAAAACTACTTTTAACTTACCGTGAAATGGTCCTTGTGGAGAAAACGCAATCCTTACTACTCGAATCATTAAAGTCTATAATTCCACTAGTGCGATCACGCTAAAAAATTCTAATAAACAAATAATTGTATAAAAAATTTGGAATCGGTAACACAGAGCACTAAGTAAGGCACCGAAAGTCCCGCGATGTTCACTTTTTTTCTTTGCAATTGGCACGAAATTTCAAAGAAAATGTGCGTGTCGCGTGGCGGGAAAACTGCGACTGCGATCGAAGCGCCGTGGCACGACCTACCGCAGTCCGCGACTATGCCTGAGTGTGCGGCGCGATCCGCGCCCTCGCTTTTAAAAGCACGAGACTCGCCGCACGCCGCACGCCGTCCCGCGCCTTCCCGCGCCCTCCTGCCTCCTCAGAAGCCTCCACTCGCCCCTTCGCCCGACTGAACTTAAGTTTACAGCAAAGCTTTCGCGGAAACAACTAAAAAATAATTTTCCCTCACTTTTTTCTGCGAAAACTTTTGTTGTGGTTCGATAAAATATAATCGATGTAGGTAGATATCAATTAACTATTCGGAAAAATTGAAATAATTTCCCGTAACAATAGAATATATCATGAAAATATATCATGAAAATAAGCCCGATTTAGTAAACTCTAATATTATACAATGGATGATAAAATTTAGTGGTTTCGTACTAGAAACAATAACCTGCGATAAAATAGTATTTTTTAAATGTAATTATAAAATATTCTGCTTGCATACTATTGGCTTTTGGTCAATTCATACCTCTTATGTAAGAGCACATTAAATACTAACTATACTTTTGTTTTAAGTCTTAGGCTTATATTATTAATATATTTTTTTTAAATTATAACAAGTAGTTTTATTTGGTACTTGTTTATCATTATCATTTTGTTTTCTTCAAATTATTTTTTAACCGGAAAACTAAATTTTCTAAAATAGTCTATATAACTACTAAGCTATATGGAATATATTAGGAAATTTAGTTTTATTACTAAATAGCTTGCGTTTTTAATAGACTTGTTGAGGTAAGTACCAGTAAATTTATAGGTTCCTTAAGGAAAAAACAAATACTGACTTAGATAACACCAACTTACCTAGACTCATATTACCTCCTAGACTTACTACTCTATGACTACTCCTACTAAGATATATTACAACAAAAGTTCACATTAAAACAAACATACCTACCTGCTTTAAGATCAGAAGAGTGAAAAAGTATAGCATGTCATTTAGCTTATAAAAAAATAAACTAATAAAAATCCAGCCAGTAATAAATCCATTATCAAATGCACACTCACGGGGCAATGGTCCAAAATGACTCACGCTTGCAAGAAATGGACCCCGAAATATGCGATATATTTTTATAGGACATCCTTTATTGTTTAAATCCACAAAATTATTAATTTATTAAACTTTAATATAGTGGTATAATTTATTTTTCAGTTATAGTAAATATTATATGAATTAATAAGATATTTTAACTTTTGACATATAATTAATTCCTCGGATTTCAGAAAAAACTATCAAGACGAATACCCTCCTTTTCTGTACACTTTCTATCCCATCCTTTCAGTTCTCTTAATTCTACAGCATATTTAATAGAAAATTATATTTCACATCACTTATTATATCCGGTAGCATCGTACTCAAACGTTTGTTAATTCATTACCTTAAAAATACTACCTAAACATTTTACACTGACTTAAGTTTTTTTTTAAAAAAGAGCCATAGTTCAGACTCATTTCAAGTTCCTCAAACGCTGTAAAACAGATGCTAACTAAGAAAATCAGATGCAACAATTAATCAAGCAAATGCAAATAAATATTAATTGCTACTCGATCTATGAATCCATTCTTTGAAATTAAATAGAAAAAGTTCCCAAAAGTTTTATTTTCACTTATATAACTTTGGTATAATTAAAACTAAATAGGCTGTTAACTGGACGTGTTTGGTGTTTTAAAAAACATAAATTGTGTGGCGCCGAGTCTCCGATCCTCGTCACATTAAGACGCAATATGTCGAGCCCCGTTAACCCAGTAAGTTATGTTACTATAATGTTTACAAATTACTGCTTACCGGCAAAAATATATAATAACAATGACGTAGGTTAGATTAAATTTTAACATGACATTCATTTGTCAAATTTAAATAACTCTTAAGTAATTTTAACCACAGCACAAAAAACTATTTTATTTTTTTATTTTTATTACAGCATGTAACATATTTACGCTAGAAGTTGGCCGTTGAGAAAAAAATTAAATTTTAATTAAATTATCTTTATGCATTTCTCCACATTGACTTAAACGGTATCATATTTTTTTATTCGGTGAAAATTTCCTTAAAAAGAGTACAAAGTTTTCCTTCAATACACCATCCATCATCCATTAATAACTATATCTATTTATATAATTATTAACTATTTATACACTTTTTATAATCTGTTAACATCTTTCTTTCTCAGGTGTGTTTATTAGGAACATGCACCCCAAACGTATACATATTTAAGACAGGAGCCCACAGGTACCATATCAGCGCAAAATGTGAAGGTCTTCTTAGGACACTCCGGCGACAAAACAAGGAAAAAATTTCGGCAAATATCTTTTAGAAACAAAGAAATAAGTATTTCCTCTTTTACCTTAGAAAAAAAACTCATCATTTCAATTGAATTTAAACATTATCCTCAATAATACTTTCACTGAAATATAACTTGAGTCAAAATTACTTTGAAGTTTACATGGCTGGTCCTTCGTCATAATAGTTGGTTATCATGCATAGTTAACAAAGGTTTACATTGAAGTAATGCGATGTATCGCGCTATATCGGCGTGACCTTCACGGGACCTTCCGCCGTGACAAAGCCATTGTCTGCGCTGACTAAACCCGAGGGTGGTTCCTCAGCGTGGTGGTAGGGCCCTGGTGAAATCACCACCGAACACCCAGGGTCAAGGACGCCTTTGTGTTAGTGCTTGTGGCACGCGCCCAACTCAAGTACTTGTGAATAAGCGTAAGAACTTTTGTTTTTTTTAACATAATATTTTGCTATATGTATTGAATTGATTTTGGATCATTAACTGATTACTTTTTTTACTACTTTTATTCATTTAAAATTATATCTTAAAGAGTCATCATCAGCTCATTATACTACCCCACCGAGGAACTTGCAGCCTATCCTAAGTTAGGGATGACAAGGCCAACCACGCTGGACCAGTTCGTGTTGGTGGACGTTACACATACCTCTGAATTTCTCCAAAGATATGTGCAGGTTACATCAAGATGTGTTCCTTCACCGAAAGAACCTCGATTAAATGTATGTACGTATGTATGTAAAGGAAATCGAAAAATACATCGCTACGTGGCGGGATTCGAACCCAGGACCTGCAGATTACAAGTCAAGTTTGTTTGTTTATCGATATCTTTAAACGATTGTGTGCAAAATTGCGTTGAGATTCTTCAATAAAATAATGGTTCGACAGTGTTAGTGCCACACTGCCTTGCAGACTTATAAACATCAGTATTGTGTAATGGATAAAAGGAATAATTGTAACAAAATTAATCTTGGAATTGGTATAATGCAACCAGGAAATCTGCTATTGATAAATGATACACATACGAAGAATAAAATGCTATGCAAAATTCTACAGCACAAAATTTCCACACAACATTCAATAATCGTTTGTTTTCCTTAAAACATGAAGACTTATCATCTGAAACTGATAGTTAGGAAACTAATTATGTTCGTACTTATTTTATAATAAAACAAACATATTGTTATAATTTTCTTTTGTAAGTATGTGTTGTACTTTTTACGTTTAGATGGATTATGGTCGAACGAATGGGTGTAGAACGGCTGAATGAATCTCACTGAAATTTGGCATAGATGTAGGACCTTTAGAAGTCGCGGGCAACAGCTAGTAAAGTACGGGTATAAGCAGCTAATTTCAATTTTTAAATGCGTGTACAATTTCCACGTAATAGAACGACTATCTTATTCTTGAAAATTTCCGTTTTCCTGCTTTGTAAATTTCCGTTATACATAAAGTATATGGTTTGCGAACTAACAATAAAGAAAAATCAAATGATTAATGGCAGCAATTGGATGCTAAGTGTTGAGTTAGATTCGAATCTTATATAAACTTCCCAGCGGCAGTTTTTCCGACAAATAATGACGTGGGTCAAGAAAGAATATTTTCAATTAAATTTATGAATAACATCAGTTGGGATCGTTATCAGGTACTACCAGTACTCATTATAACAAACACAACAGGAATAAGAAAAATGATTTTTACATATTGAATAACATAACAAATTAGATTCGTAACAAACAAAGAATTACTTGCTTTGAAACTCCCCTTGATCTTACTAATGTTATAAATGCAAAATTTTGGATCGATGGATGCTATATGGATCTCGCTGAAATTTGACAGATGTAGAACATAGTCTGGCACACATTGACTACTGTTTAATTTTTTTATTATAATACCGCGCGAATGGAGTCGCAGGCGACAGCTAGCGTTTAATAAATAATAAACAACGTTGTAATAGGTAGTGATCAGTAGCATACAATTTAAAG